AAGCTCCATTATGTCAAAGCTTCAGCCAAGAAGAAGCATTTGGGCGAGAGCAGGCAGCGTTCAGGCTGTGTGTTCCTCCCTGCCTGCGCTATATTTCGGGTGGGGAAACACACAGTTTGTATGTTGTCTGCTTGGGAGCGAAGCACGCAGAGTCAGCCCGCATTGCGAGCGTTTGTTACTGCGTATGCTTCGCTCTCGGAAGGCTCTTTTTGAGGAGGGAGCCTTCACCAGCATTCCTCGCGGTGCCGGCTCCGCTTTCGTCGAGGCGGAGTGGCGGCTGCGCTCGTAGGGTTCGCATATGGATCGAGCACCCGCTCTCTGGGATCGGAAGCCCACGCTGGGTTCGCATATGGATCGAGCACCCGCTTTCTGGGATCGGAAGCCCGCGCTGCGGTTCTTCCTCCTGGGGAGAGGGCTCGACGCTCCACCTGTCTTCCTCCAAGGAGGTTGATGTGGAGGGCGTCGATGACCTCGCCAGTTGCACAAGCACCAGTTGCACAAGCATATTATGTCTAATATTATAATGAGCAGCATTACTGGGGAGCGGAGCTCGTGCAATCAGCTCTCGGGGGGCTGATTGTGCTTTTTCTCGCTGCAAAATGCTCCGCTCTCGCCGGGCACGCTCCGAGGAGTGTGTCCGTGTCTGTGATCTTGCGGTTCCGGTCCCGCTGCTGCTGAGGCACGGCGACGATTGAGATCGCGGGGATCGCACATGATCTGGCGGACAGGTTGGACCCTATCTCCACCCGCATTCCCTAGATCTAGCGCTCTCTCTCGGGGTTTGGAAGCCCGCGCTGTGGTTTCTTCCCCTGTGGTTGCTTCAGGCGCAGCGGTCTCCGGTGAGCGCTTCTCTCAGTCACCGCCTGGAAACGTAGCGGTACTAAGAGGCTCACTACCTCTTCGGAGGTCTCTAGAGTAGCTAGTTCGGCCGTCCCCTGCTGATTTGCCACTTCAGGGCACCGACCTAGCATCTCTAACTGCACCGGAGGCCAGTAGAGACTGGTTCCCTTAGTAGGTCACCTGGTGGTGTGGGAGCCCCTGCCAAGCATGTCTCATTGGGTCCTGCCCCGAGCAGGCTCTGGTTCTATCAGTCTAGTCTTCCTAGGAGATGATGTGGGTCTGAGGACCGTCGTTTTCATAGGAGACTTCAGCTAACAGAGTCCTGATGCCATGGCTCAGGACTTCGGAGGGCAGGCCCCTCTGGGGAAGAG